TCAAGGAAACTTGAGACCAAAGACAACACATCTTAAAGGGAGCATTTTAATGACAGAAAGATACAGGACAGCACCTGAGCATGTATAACTTGTTTAATATATCTCACAACTTTTCTTTGAGAGGAAAAAATATCCAAGACATTTTATGTATTACTCAGAAAATAATTTCCATACTAGCTCTTGTAAAAAATATGCTTTAAGGGAATAATATTAATTTGTGGATTTAGTCTGCCCAAAGCCATCAGTCCTGTAAAATGTGTTTTCATGCAGAAGTGAAAGCAGTATCAACACTGATTTATAAAGATGCCTTAAAAAGTTCTTCAAAACTTAAAAACATTTCCTTAAAAAACAAAATTCAGCAATACATCAAATCACAAAAGCCAATTCAGCCTATGTAATCTACTTGAGAAAACAGAAGAGCACACCTCATTAACCAAGTTACAAAAGTCCATTGATATTTTGTCAATGACATGGTTTCATTGCCTTGCTCATGACAGGCAGAAGTACATGTTCTGGTTAGTATGCCTTGGTCAAAACCATATTACTCACCTTCCCTATAACCTGCCGTCTTTGTTCTAGAACTGCCTACGTCTAGGGTGACTAACACTTTTCTCAATTTAATATGAACTTTTTGATCCTCTGAAGCCACCGATTTAGGACAGTAAGTTTTTCCTTATTAAAGATATATCTAATCACATTTACCTAGTTTACTTAATGAAGTAACACAAATGTAACAGTCATTTATTATTTCTTCACCTCATGAAGAGCAGTAGCTATATCCTCTAAAACATTCATATTTCAGAGACCCATTAATTACAGAATACAGTTTCCATTAAGGGAAATTCAGTGACAAGATCAGTACCTGCTAATAAACAGTATTAGCTACAATGTATGATGTCTACAATTATATAAATAACTATGCAAAATATTTCCAAAATAACACTAAAAACAGAACCAGCTATTTCTACATAGTTTTACCTAAGGACTTGGTTAGATTTATTTTATTTAATTTTCATGCTCTAGAGTTTTATCATACATATTTCTCACTCCTTTGCACAATTCTGCAAAGTATTTTTAAAACAGCAGATGCTTTTTGTGTTCTAAATATGTTTAGACATTTGACTGAAAACCAATCTCAGAAGTTATGTCATTAACTAAATCTTCATGGACATAAAATTCTGCTGAGGGCTTAACCACCATCGCTTAGTGTTGCTTCACTTCTTTCTCATGAAGCAGCTTATTAAAAGTAAGAACATGTAAAGATGCATTATTGTTGGGTTTAAACAGTTAAAATGGCTAGAGCAACTACTCTTCAGGTTCTTACCTTCCTAAAACTAACATTGATTATTTTTTCTTTCTCCTAAGCATATTTCCTACTGAAGATTTCTGCTCAGGGGGCTAGCACATAAGGAAACAAAGAGTCTATTACTTTATCTTTAATTCTTGGGGAGGGAGGACCTCAAGCCACAAGCATTTGCTCATTTTGGTGGTTGATTTTGTTACCTGTTTGTAGTCATGTGGCACATTTTTCTCTTCTCAGAGCTCTTCCCAGAAAGAGCGGGGAGAAAGCAGAAAGAAAGATAACTCCTGTGCAGAGCCACAAACAAGGGCTATAAAGCAAACTCCTTTTCCCACCCTCAAACAAGGGAGCGGGAACTACATACACTAATTACATTTCAGCAACATGCCATGAATGATATAGTCGGGCTGCCAAGATAAACCACATCCAAAAGCCCACACTGAGTTGTAGTGATCCGATACTGGAGCTCGTTTACTTCCACTGAGAAGCAAAAAGGCTCCCACAAAGCGATTATCGCTGGAGGAGCCAGACCAGACAGCAGCTTTCTTCGGAGCAAGGGTGCTACATACTACATGTAACTTTCTGAACGAGCTGAAGCTCTACCTGCTGTCTTCCCTCACTGTTTAAATGCTTTAAGCCCCAAAGCTTCCTTTTGTTCATGACTGACATCTGTTATGGCCAGGATAAAACACACTCTCAATGCAGTCCGAAGGGCCAGTCCTGAAGAATCACAAAGGGTAGGACAGCCCTCAGAACCACTGGCGGTGTCACGGCAATACACAGATATGTCCAGGTGAGACAGGAGTAACGCCGCTGACAGCCGAACACCTGTCTGTCCCTCAGGCCGCCGCTGCCAACCAGCCCCTCCGGCGGCGGCGCAGGGCGGGAAAGTCGGGCACCGTCCCGGGCCACCAGCGACAGCACCAGCTCGCCTCCGCAGCTCTGGTGCGAGGCAACCGACGGCGGGAAGAGGCTGCTCTCCTGGTGCGGGGCAACTCAAAGGAAAAACGCAACTCCCGGCGGCCTCGTCTCCACCGAGGAGCCGTCGCGGCGCCCGCCCCGCACCGTGCCGTGCCCGCCCGCCGCCCGGCCCGCGTCCCCTACCTGCGTCGCCGCGGCGAGGCTGCCCCCTCTCCGAGGTCCCGCGGTGCTGCCTCGGCTGAGGGCGGGAGAGCAGAGCTGGGTTTACTCAGCCCAGGCAGGCAGCCCACCTCACCCCACCCGCCCCAGGGGCTGCCGGCCGCGCACAGCGCCGGGGAGAGGGGACCCCGCTGCGCCCCGGCCGGTCCTTACCTGGGGAGCGGTAAGTGCCCGCCGACAGGGAGCTGGGCCCGGGCGCCCCACGGAGACAGAGCTGGAAGGCAAAGGTACCGGGTTAGCGATGGCCAGGACTACCCTTCATCCTCCCTCCCGTCCCCGGCGGGAGGCTCACCCGGCGGCAGCCAGGCGCACAGCAGCGCCCCGAGGAGGAGCCGGGCCTCCATACGGGCTGGCGGGCAGCAGAGGCGGCTTCCCACAAAGCTGCGGCCCTCAGCGCCGGCCGCTACCTGCGCCCTGGGCTCATCCCGCCCTCCCGGGCGGGGCGGCCGGGGGGTTTATGAGCCGCCCGCCCTCCGCCCCCGGCCCTTCCCTCAGCACCCACCCCGGACACCGCCCCTCGCCCCGCAACGGTGCTCCCGGGCCGGCCGCCGCCCCGGCAGCCGAGCGGCTCCGGCCCCGCTAAGGCTTCTCCCCGGCTGCCCCTGCCGGGTGCTGACCGCTCCGGCTCCTCACGTTTATTGACACTTTCCCGCCCTTTTGGAGTTTAGGAAATGATTTCGTTGACCGGGAGCCGAGAGCTCCGCGGTGGGGTGCGGTGTGAGGCTGCGCCCCACCTCTAGCGCGAAGGGCCCTGGGGCGCCTTTGCCTTGTCTCCTGGGGCTGCAGCACGGCTGGGAGCGGCCGGCCTGGGGAGCGCTGCCGCTGGTGCCGGGGGCAGCCGGCCTTATGGGGGTGCTTATGGGGGAGTGCTGGCCCCGGCCCGCTGAAACGGGTGTCAGAACCCGAGTAACGAAGGGCAGGAGCAAGACACGGACTGCATGCAGCAGGCAGCTAACGCAGAGGGATTGTTTCCATAGGTTCTGACCACTTTTTGTTACTATAAATTAACACTCCTGAATTCGGAGCTCTTTGTGGACCCTCTTCTAGGTTTATTTTTCCTTTTTTCTTTGTCGTTACATTTGCTGTCTGTTTTGCCTTTCTTCCCTTTCCTCTCCTCTCTTCCCATCGCCGTTACCTTTTTTTTTGTTCTTTTCCCTTTCCCATCTGCTGCCGCCTCTCTCCCCATCATTCTTCAGGTTTGCATATCTTATAACAGAAGCTTTAGAAGCTGCCCATGCCAGGTGAGAAACTGTCTCAGATGAAAAGGGGCCTTTTCTGACTGCTTTGGGAAGTCTGTTAACAGCAAGTCATTAAAAAGATCTCTTTTCTGCCTTTGTAATTTGTCCCTGTGGATTGTGTTTCTTGCTGCAACAAGTGTTTAATTTCTAATGAAATGATGGAAAACTAGTGATGTTTTCACCGAGAATTCTGTTCTCTCCTGTAAATGTTGGAGGGAGAATGTGTATGAGAGAAAAGAAAGTGAGACAGAAAAGACATTCTTTTACTTTAGTACAGCCTTTTCCCAACAACCCCAAACAGATATTTAGAACTATGTGCTAGCCTCAGCCTGTAGCAGAGTCCATCTACTCTGAGTGCACCATGCACTTGTCTTAGGTGCATTTTCTCTGATCCAGACTACATTAATGGAACTAGAGAAAGCAGACCAAGAGCAACAGGAGTCAGCTTACACAACATACATTTTAATGTACTGCTTTGCTTACTAACTAGGCTGCCCACTTTACTAATTTTCCCTTAATGCCACAAGTAGCAAACTTGAAACTTTTACAGCTAATTTAGATGAAATTTGACTTCTTACCTTGAAATATTTCATTATCCAAAAAATAATAAACAGTCATAATTGTACCATGTTTAAATTTGACATATTTGAAGTAATGGAAACTTCAGAACAATCTCAAATTTTCTGATCATCAACCTTCCAGTTCTGGAACATGGGATAGATTTGTGGGTTTGTTTGCTTTGTATTTATGCACAGAATTCATGTAACAGAGCAGACTAACAGTCCACCAACTTTGTTTTCCTTTCTGTGATGTGTCCTGTATCTGATGATTCAGAGCAGTTTTCACATCACCAAATTAAGTTAACTCTACAGGATTTTACTACATGGAGGAGTTTCTGGCTCCTGGAAAATTTATCTGTATGATAAAGTCACTTTCTTTCACATGTACGTAACTTTCAGCTTGTAAACAATCTATTCCCATAAAGTCTTCTAGAAGTGGTTGATAGATATCAATGACTGTTATAGTCTATATATAAATTTAAAGGCATGGTATTTTATGTGTCCTTTAAATTTCATCTATCTTCTTCCATCTCTTTTCAAATATAATTTTATTTTGCATATGCAGTGTGTCTAATGCTTGGATAGGATAGCTTTTCAATATTGTGTGGTACTGGAACTTGGGTAGAAGACAAATGATTTGTGTACCAGTAGTTGCATTTCTAAAAGAAAATTGTTTTCTGAAAACAGTTTTTGTATTTGTACACAGGCTTAAAATGCATTCTTCTCTTATCCCTGACACCTGATATGAGAAATGGGTAGTGTATATCCCACTGAATTGTTCCGATACAGCAGAGCCATCTTCTGAAACAGGTAAGAGCAATTTCTCAAGGAGCTGGTGTAGCTTACAAAGGTTATAAAACAGAAATAATAAAACAGATTCCAGTTTGTATTTGGCAATATGAATTTTTTTTTTTTTAGCATGCCATATTCATACAAGCTTCCACTCTGTCAGAAGGAGAAGCAGTGTGCTTACCTGTGCTTACCTAAACCCCGTTCTCTCTGGAGTTCTGTGGGTAAAGTTGATGCTGCAGGGCAATTTAGGGACATAAGTTAGCAGGTCTCCTCCACTTGCTTCTGGCCTTGATTGTAGAAGTCTTTATTATCATGTAATATAGTAGGGAAAGTGGGAGAAGAACCAGCCCAAGACAAAATAATGTAAAAGAGATGAGTCTGAAATTGGCTCCTTTTCAGGTACTCTGAGCTTGATTCTTATAAAGTTCCTTACAGCAGGCATGTCAGAGGCCACATTCAAAAGCAACAATATTCTGTTAGTGGGGAAGGCTGGTGGAAATCAGTCTTAGACAGTGATACGTCACCCTGTTTACCTGAAAATGAAATTAAAAAAAATATATATATTATTTGCAGTAGAGAAATTTATTGAAGCAAATTCTCCTCCCACTCTCCCCCCCACACCCCGATGTTAGCATGCTGTAAATTTCACATCCTTGTGCTCTTCTTAAATAGTATGGCTAGCGGGGTACATGCCTGCAAACGCCAAAGAGCAGTTTGGGTGTGAGCTCTGTGCCGCATGAGCAGCACCGGCTTGAAAAATCAGCCCAGGGAAAAGGCCCGGTACCGCACCGGCTGCGAGGGGGGTGTTTCTTTCGCTTTTTTTTTCTCGTTTTGCTTTGGCCTTAAACAACCAAAGCCCGGGGTCGCAGGGAGGTTATTGCTCGTACCGCTAAAGCCGCGGAGGCGGCCGGGGGCCGGGGACGCTGTCGGCGGCGGCAGGCGCGAGCGGCGGGCGCGCCTCCCA